GGGGAAGGGCAGGAAGAAGAGGGAGAGGAGGAAGGGGAGGGGGGAGAGGAGGAAGGGGAGGGGGGAGAGGAGGAAGGGGAGGGGGGAGAGGAAGGGGAAGGGGAGGAAGGGGGACAGGAGGAGAGGCAAGAAGGAGAGGAGGAAGGAGAGGGGGAAGGGCAGGAAGGAGAGGAGGAGGGAGAAGGAGAGGAGGAGGAGGAGGGGGAAGGAGAGGAAGAGGAAGGAGAAGGGGAGGGGCAGGGAGGAGAAGAAGCAGAGGAGGAGGGAGAAGAAGAGGGAGAGGAGGAAGGGCAAGAAGGAGAGGAAGAAGGAGAGGGAGAAGGGGAGGGGGAAGGAGAAGAAGAGGAAGAAGGAGAGGGGGAGGAGGGAAAAGGGGAGGAGGAAGAGGAAGGAGAGGAGCAGGAAGAAGAGGGGGAAGGCAACCAAAGGGAAAAGGAGGGGAAACTGGGGGAGAGGAAAGAGGAAGAAAAGAGGAGGAGAGAAGAGGAGGAGGAAGAAGAGGAGGATGAGGAGGAAGTGGAGGGGAAGTCCCAGGAGACAGGCAATGAAGAAAGGGGAAGGCAGGGAAGACAGGGTGAAGGAAAAGAATCCAAAAAAGTGAGGGAAAGCAGAGGATCTGTGAAATACAACAAAGATAAAACACATCCCAAAAAGCTGATTGCTGAAAGGGAGGGAAAGGGGAAAGAGCATGAAGTACAGAGGTTCAAAATGCCAGTGCGGTCAAAACAACTTTTAGAAAATGGGCCACCAGCTTCCAAAAAATTCTGGAATAATGTATTACCACATTATTTGGAATTGAAGTAACAGATTTTAAATTTGACCTGATTATGTCCAACCAAACAGTTTGAACACTTTATGCATATTGGGCACTCAATACATTCTGTTAAACTGATTTTATGTCATGGTTACTTTACATGTGGTACAATAACAACTGATAAAGGTAACTTGGAGGTACTGGCAAATTTTGACTCCTCCTAAACTAATATTTTGGTGTATTTTCCCCCAAATTATAAATATATAACTAGAAAATATGAAAAGGCCATAGCATATAATTAGCATAATTCCTCATTAAAGACAGTTTTAGGAAATAGGAGTATACTATAGAAATACTTTGTGTATACAAACAGGTCCCTTTAAAAATGGCACAGATCTTTAAGGGTTATAAAAATGTCTGCTTATAAATATGTTAGCATAATTTTTTTCAGTCTATGATTACAATTAGCCTACCACATAGAATAACTTTATAAGAATGGGTGGTAATCTAAAGCTAAAATGAGGGATTCACATTTTTTTAAAAACAGTACTATCTTTCTACCTTTTATGTGTCCTTTTTTGCAATAGTCTGCAAAGTGACAGCTGGGTTCTGAGCTTAGACTCTAACGTCTCTTTTGGTTATTGTTTGATAAATGACAGAACATCTAGTGAAATGGAGATAAATGTATATTCTGGAAGTATAAGAAGCTTGAAGTATTTATTGACCCAGCAAAGCTATTCATTGGGCTTCTGTTTCCTCATCTGTAAAATGGAATGGATTAGATGATAGGATAAATATAGCCGCTGTAACTCTTAGATTCTTTCATTCTAACATGTTTATTATTTGCAGAAGAAAAAACTTTTAAAGAAAAAATAATACTTTACAATTAATTTAGTTTTCTATAAAATGTTCTTTCCTCTTCAAAGGTTATGGCAGCTTTAATGTCTTTTGTCTTCTGTAATTCTGTATTTCTAAACGCCTATAATCTCTGAGCTTTCACTGTACTGTCAGACCTCCATCCCCAGTGCTGTCATTCCCAGTGTCTCTATACTTACCTTCAGTGTGTTCTTCATGCACTGTTCTGTAATCCTGTGTGCTGCTTGTCAGAATGTTTTAAGTAAAATAAAAATTAAATGTATACAGTCAGTAGTTGTTTGTGAAAAGAGAAACTCATATTAGACATTGAACTTGAGAGAGGTTACATTTCCACCAGCGTAATATCATTGTGTATAATGCAGCTAGTGTGTTCGACTATTGTTTACCACAGCTTTCCCTCCCTAGTCCCTTCTATATCTTGGACACCAGGGATTTCTTATACTTTCTTTTATCAAGGAGGATTTTGATGGTAACCTTCCTGTGAATTTTGTGTAGTTGAATTCTTTGCTTGTTTGATTTTCCATGAATGAGAAAGAATATGGGGAGAAGGACTAGGACAGGAAGTGAAGAAGTTCCTAGGAGCAATTGTAAATTTTGTCGTAGCTGCAAGGCTCTCTGGTAGCTTCCCCTCACTAACCAAATATGCTGATTTGGCACTGCACTGTTTACCAAATCTCCCACATTCATTAGTGTTAGTAAGACTGAATTAATACTTTGGCTAAAATGTATGTGCTGTGTTGTTAATTCTAGTGCAAGACATGGTTATTTTAAAAGTAGATTTAGGATTAAATAGCAAAGAAGTGGAGTCCATGAAAGAAAAACCTGTAAGCAGAGGAGAAACTCTTAAACTTCAGTTATTAATGTTAAAGATATGGGCATTCATCTTCCACTGAAGAGATGAGCACCAGCAATACTGAAATGATGTTCTGAAAATCTGTCCATCTCAGTATTTGAACTGTTCTCGATAACCATTCGTAAACAGCATCTCTTACCCATTTCTTCACATTTCCCTGGCCAAAAAAATTTTTTCTGTGCTCTTTTAGAAGCAGTAATTCATGCAGGCCTAGTGCTCTGGTCAAAAGAACACTGGCCTAGTCATTTTGAGACCTGAATTAATACTTAGTTAAAAAGATTGGAATAACTGGTTCCTTCTTTATCGTCCCCATCTACTGGTTGATCAAGCTTTTACTGTAGTTTATCAGTAATCATTTCTGAGGCAAGTGTGAATTGTGTATGTAGAATCCATTGAGTTACAGTTTCAAATGAGGACTCTGGCAGAAAACTAAGGTAAGCTACAAAGGAGTACCACAGAAACATGCCACTGCTGCTGGCCAGCAGCACTCCAGGTGAGTGCAATTGAAATGTTCTATTTCACTATAGAGGTAAATTTGCTGTATACATTTATATTAAAAATAAAATGCTACCATGGAGGAAGGTGCTGTAATTCCTTCATTCTTTCCATTGTGAAAGTTAAATATGATATTTTATGCGCAGTGCCTGACACATAACTTATATTTGGTACATATTATTCATTCAACAAATATTTATGTACCAAGCACCAAAAAGAGAGTCAGAAGCTTCCCCAGATCAGGTGGATCTCAAGAAGTGAGGGCTGCTTACAGTCAGCCTCCTATGGCTCTCTATCCTATCAGGGATGTTAGGTGGGTATAGATTTCTTGAAAGAATACCAGGTAAAAAGAGTTCCTGTGACTCTGCCTTAAATGTTGCTTAGCAATGCCCTTTTGTTTCCCGATACCCCCATGTTCTTAGCCAAGACTGCCCAAAGATAAAAATACAATTTGAAAACAAATCTATGGCTTTCCTCCATTAAATCCCTTAATAAGAAAAAAATAGTTTTGCACCTTGGGTATGCAGAGAGTGAGATATGGCTCCTGATCTCAGGGAATTCTTGGCTATTTCTACAGACTGACCAGAAAATTTACCAGTACAGTAAAGTGCTTCAGGATGGTACTTCAGCTGCCAGTGAGAAAGGCTAGGAAAGGGCTCCCACAAAGTGATGGTGAAATGCGAACTGAGTCGTGAAAAGTAAAACCTAACCAGGCAAGGAGCGGGCAGGGTGACAGGAGCCAGGCTGACGGGAGCCAGGAGGGGATTTCAGTGTGACTACAGCCTAGAGTATCCCTTGGCCTGGATAGAGAGGCACAGGACCTTCAGTGTTTGTAAATGTTAAACTGCAAGAGTAAGATGATCACACTTGGGCTTTTGTAGCGTCATTCCGGCAGCAATATGGAGGGTGGACTGGAAGGGAACAGGACCAGAGTCGGGGGCACCAGTTGGAAGGCAGTTATAGTAGACCAGGCAGAGACTGGAGAGGAGCTAGACTAGGACAGTGGGATGGAGAGTTGGGGGTACGTATTATCAAGAGAGATTTAGGGGTAGAATTGGAGGGCTCAGTAAAGAGATGGAGCTTAGAGGGAGGAAAAAGGTCAAGCTATTCTTGTTTCTGGCCTGGAGGATTGGGTAGAAAGAGTGCCGTTCACAAAGGCTGAGAACAGAGCAGGGCAGGTTTGGGAGACTGCTTGGGGCTTGTTGATCCAGGAGATGTTCAGCAGGCAGATACACGTCTGGGTCTGGAGCTCAGGGAAGATAGCTGAGTATCACCGGCTCATCAATGTAGTTAAACTTATGGATGAATGAGAGCCAGTATTCATAGTGTGAAGAGAGAAGAGAACTGAAGAGAGAATTCAGGGAAACATCAGTAGGTAAGAGGAGGTTGAAAAAGGGAAGTCTGAGGAGGAGGGAGGGTAGGAACACTTTCTAGGAGACAGAGGGGCCCCCAAAGCCACAGAAGGAGCAGTGGAGGGCTGCACAGAGGGCCTGGGGGAGGCCCAGGGCAGAGCTCACATTGCCGTCAAAGAGTGAGCGCCAGGAAGTCTGCTTTGCAGAAAAACAGAATGAGAAGTAGCTTTTGAGAAATAAATATCAAAAAGTGCTACTGGCATATTTCTCAATATAGGAAGGGAGATATATGTTCCAGAGATTTTGCTGCTCTGGGGGAAAAACATCTAAATTGGTTTTTTTGCTGTTATTATATACAATAATACATAAGAATAGGATGTTGCTGAAGTGAGTTTATCAGCAAAAAAAGAAGAGTCTGCAATGCTTTAAATATCAGTGAGGTGGTGGAAGAACAACTCTGAGGGCAGCTATTATGGTCTTCAACTTATATAGGCAGAGCTGGGGAAGAGCACAGCTCTGTGGTGCGGTAGGCCTGAGTCCCTGTCCCGGCCTTTCACTGGTTAGCTGAGTGGCCACCTGGAAACTTTTTTTTAACCTTTCTGAGTCTTATTTCCTTCTTTTAAAAGGAGGGGAGGTCTTATAATAATTAAATTAGTTAACGCCTGGAACATGTTAGGGGTGCTCAGCAAATGCTAACCTATATCACTCTTAATCACCCTCTCTGATCACATCAAGTCAGGATAGTGCTGCCCTCATGAATCTCCAAGTCACTGACTGATGTGCAGGAGTTTAGTCCTGTGAACCTCACTTTTATTTAAATACAACATAGCAACCTCCCAAAAAATTAGCTTATGGAAATGAAATGAATTGCAATAATGATAGCCCTGAAATGTGGAGTAGAGTGAACCTACCATTATACACCATACACGGGTCAAATATTGTCCCTCAACATTTGAACCATGATGAAAAGGCTAATCGCACTCACATGGTTAGCCTAAAATTTAGATATTAGTGCTTTCACAGGACCATAGATTTCCCACTGAATCCTAATGTTTTTATCAAATAGTTAAAAAATAATTCATACATTGAGCATAATCATGGATCGTTTAAGATAAAATATTCTAAGGAAAAAGAAGGGGAAAATAATAGTGTAAAACTGAAAATGAGAATAAAACTGTATACCAGCAAGGTGTTCTGTACCCTGAGCACGACGTTCATTTTTGCAGGCCACTTATCAGAGTCAAGTGTAATATATTTCATGGTGGAAATATAGGATTAGGAATGAAGTAAGGGATTGGCACATAGAAAGAAGGGGAAGTTTACAGATGATAAGGTCTTTAGAAGCAAAGAATTAAGTCACAACTGGTAGCCCATGGGTGCAGTCTGGCCTGCAGACTGAACTTTCTTTGTTTTTAAACATTTGAATCAGTTGTCAACATTGAAATATTAGGAGACTTTACATTTAAAAAAAGTTTCTTGGACTTTTGGAAAATCTGAGGGTCTGGGAGCATCGTGTCCTGTGGCAACACTGGCCTGCAGCCCAGCTGAGCACCGCCCCCCACTTCCTGCCATCCAGGGCCTGCTCCTAACAGGCATCTGCCTTCTTTCCTCTCTTCCGCTGGCTGCCGGCCTCTGGCAGAGAATACGGGATGTGTATAAGAGGATAGAGCAAAGAAGTGTATACTTTAAATGAACTATTTTCTAGTGGTAAGATCTGGGACATTACGGCAAAAAGTGTCCAAGCTTGTTTTTTGACAGCCTCAATGCACACTAGGGATTCTATCTTACTTTTTATAGAGTGGCCTTTATAAAATCACTTCTATTTATATACAAATACTTATTATTTGCTCATGTTATTTTCTCTGTAAACAATGTTTTTCATGTTGATACAATCCCTCCCAGGTAGGTGTTGCTAATGTCATTTTTCCAGTTTACAGATAGACTGTAAAGCACATTAAGTAGGTGCCTTGCTCAGGCCAAGAGTAGTGGAGCAAAGCTTAGAAAATAGTGTTCAGGTCTTTGTGTTTAATGCCCTTCCTACTCTCTCCTGCTGCCTCAGTGATTTCTAGAGTAGCTAAAACATGAACTTATATGTCAGCTCTTCTTGTCCTAAAAAAAAAAAAAACCTTCAAACTGAGATTTTTAGAATATACACTTTCCTACCTGACATAACTTAGATATAAAGTTTTATGCTCCATTAACCTATTTGGAAAACATTTCTGTCCTGTATGACATTGAGGCATGCCATGAATCCAGAATTGTAGCACAAAATTTTATGCTTTATTGTCCTTTTTTAACTTAAACGTGCTTTTGAAGTTAATACACAGGCAAATATAGATCTCATACATGTATAGCTCAGTGTATTCTCCACACACTGAACACACCCATACAGTCAACATCCAGACCTAGGAAGTTCTGGTGACAAGAATATATTTAAACTTTAACCTTTCTTTTTATAAAATGACAGTATTCTGCCAATCTCTCCTAAACTGTTTCAGTTTGAAGGTAAGTGCTAGATGTGACTTAAAGTAGTTGTCCAGATGTATATAGATTAATTTATGTGTGCTTAATTTAGTGCCAAGTGCTACAATTGATGATGTGATTTCTACTGTAAGTGCCATTTTCCAAGAGTATCCTCAAACTTAGAAAATGGTATAGTTCCAAAGGTTCATTGTTATACATTTATATAAGGTTAATGAGTAAAACTAGTTCATTATAAAAGGGATGAGTGCTTTGCATATTTCTAAAATAAGGTAAAGCTCCATGTTTCTTTTTGTAATAGCATGATATCCTATGGTTACATTAATACCTTAGTAAACTGGCACAATTGGAGTTGACCCAGGTCCTAGATTAGTCAAACTCTCCAGGTAATGACTTTGATAGAAAACAGCTCACTGACCCACCCTCTGGGGGATAAATGGGCAATCTGAAATTCTCTGTCTCAGGAGCTCTGTTCTTTCTAGTTGGCCATCATATATGCACATTTATGAATACATCTGTTTATCAGGCCTAAGTCTTAAATCTAGTAATCTTGCTTCCCATTCCCCTCCAAAGTAAAGTGATCTCCGATCATTTTAGCTACCTGTAATGTGCATCTGGCTAGCCATAATATATAAGTCACTTAGAGGGGAAATCATGCAGAAGAAAAGAAAAAGCTTTAGATGTTCTTGGTAAATGGTAGCTACCTTGTCGTTAACCCTACCCAACCTAAACGTGTAGCACATCCTTTAATATACCTCCCTACCCCAGTACTCTGTTCCCCTCTCCTGTGTTCCCCTCCCAAGTGCACTGCCTCAAGACCTTGAACCTAAGTTAAGCCCTCCCAGAGTAACTTCTGAAATTCTTTTTTAAATCTGAAGGCTTCACTTCTGGATTGCTTGTCCTCAGTGGAATGCTATTAGGCCATACCCTTAGTGCTACTGGCCTGAGGATGCCACTTATATCTCTTACAAGGTGTGAAATATAATTACATTCTCTCCCTAGCCTGAACTCTCATATTTTGTATTTTTGCCAGAAAAAGAAAAGGTGAGTTAATTATTAGAGGCGTTCTTTTCAAACCACCCAGAAAAGTTTCTGTTGGGTGTCAGCCTTATCCTTAGCCCAGTGGCCAGTAGGAAGCTGACCATGAGAAGTTACTTACAGTGTTGAAGGGACATACAGGGTATATATGGTCCCAGGCAAGTATGGCCAAGGTGAACTTTATAAAAACTTTCTTCAGAGGAGTGAATGGCACAGATTACTTACTGTGTCATCTATTTTAGGGGTCGTTAATGCCTTTAGTGAAATGTATAAATGAAAAGTATAGGAAAAAATATCCAATAAGGAGTCTAGTATGACAAAAAATAATCATTATTCCACCCAAAACATGAAATGGCAGGGAAAAAAAACCCTCAGTGTAGAATAAAGAATAAAACTAATATTTTTGCCTAATAAGCATTAGTAATTAATATGCATTACATGATTTACCTATCAAATTTATATACAAGCTGTTCCATAGTTTGGATTAGCTGGACAGGAGCCAGATGGACTAAATTCTGCCTCTGTTTGGTTTTCCATCTGCTTTAAATAACCAAGAGCAAACCACTTAAACTGCCTACTTAAACTGCTTTATCTTTTTCCCAGAATGTAAGTAATTATAGTTACCTCTCTCTTGTGAATATTGGTGAATTATACTTCTGAAGTGATTTTAAATCACTATGTTTTGGAAAATGAACATAACATATAGAGATGATTATGTTATAATGCTACAGTAGGTAGAAAGCTTTTTAACTTCTCTAATATTTAAAAGCATCCTTATGAGACAGCCCAGAAAGCATTTTTCTTTTCATTTTAACCTTACAATAGGTGCTAAAAGAACTTTGGGAACCCTAGTCATTGAAAATGTTGAAATAGAGCAACATGCATGAAATCCTTGGTGAGGTAGTAATGACATGCAGCATGGATTATGCAGTATTTTAGTTCTTGACTTTAATATTTGAATTCATAGTCTATGTGTTCTTTGAGATGCTATAAATTATTTGTGACAGCAATATCAAATCTCTGGGGTTTTTTTAAAAAAATATTTTAACTCTTCCCTGATTATCAAATTTGTCACAGGATCATGAATTTTCAGAAGATGAAGAACTAGAAGATGTGAATAAGGATATTGAGGAATATCTAGAAGGCAGAAAGAAAGCTCCAGGTGGCAATAAGAGTGCTCCTGCAGATGACCATAGTAAAACCACTGACATCTCAGTTAAAAAGGTATTGACAGTCGTTGAAAAGATATGAAGATACATGCTTAAATCCTGAGATCCTGCCTAAGAGAAAGCATATGGGTCCCCTGGTTTCTGCAGAGGGCAGATTCCAACTTCCTTGGAAAACAGAAATACTTCTATGAATAACCTTGTCCATGTGCTAGAGGAAAAGCTTTGATGAATTTATGGATCAGGCACCCCTTTTTTTCTAGCATTCTTTCCACACTTGTTGGTAGCTTTCTGTTCCTCACATGAGTGGAAGTCAGTTGTTATGGGCCAGTATAGTACACTGTTGAGAAATAAACCAAGATCAGCAGTGGGTGCTTGAAATGATAAAATTACAATGTTAGCAGCCCTGTACTGATAGCAGAAATGAGGTGTGTTTGCAGGCATATGTGTGTATATTTACATGCATATGGACAAATGAAAGCTGCTCATAGCAGTGTTTGAGGTTGTGATCAGTTTTGCACAGATGTGTTCTAGAAGAAAGTATTTATAGGAGGAATGGGAGGAGGCATCCCTGAGGAAGAGAAAGTCATCCTGAAAGTGGAGCTAGGGATGCCAAGAACATCTCTTCCATTTGGCAGTTTTGCCTAAGAGTGACCCTGCTAGGAGACAGTTGGTAGGTTTGAAATCCTTCATTTGCTAGCGCTAGTCCAGATTCATTTTGGAGGTATGGAATTCAGAAACCCAACCTGAATGATACTGCATTGATTCATCTTCATTTTCATTTTTTTGGACCTCTTGCAAAGAGCCCTGAGTTAATCATGCCTTCTCATTGATGAAACATCATCATCACTGGTCTGTGTGAGGCTCTTCTCTCTTTATTTAAATTGACTCCCTTTGAGCCCCATTCCCCTTTTCCCTAACGTAGAAACCATTGACACATGCTTGTCCTTTTATTTGAATGTGTACTTGTAAAACATGTATTGTTGTTACATGTCTATGTATTTTTAATTTATGAAATGGTATTGTGCTACAGAGTTCATTCTCTTCCTTGATTCCTTCTTTTTCCAAGACTCCTTTCTCTCACTGAGAAAAAAACATGTCTTAGCAGTTACTGTTTTCTTTCAGAGGGAGAGAAACATTCTGTTTTATAAGGAACATTTATAAGTTCCAGTTAGGGTGGTCCCTAAATTGGCATAGAACTCATTAAACTCCAATTTGATTATAAAATGTTGAGCTAATTCATACAACAATTAATGTTGCTGAATCCTCTCTGAGTAGAATTCTTGAATATATAATTTTTGCTAATCATGCAATTTTAAGCTAAGAGGGACATTACCAATCACTCAGCATCTAAGGCAAGAGTCCGGCAAAGAGAAGTAACTGTCACATGTTTATGTTGTTAGCTAGAGGCCAACTCTAGAACCCTGCTTAAAACCAAGACTTGGTTTTCTAGCCCGGCACAGATATGTTTTTTATTATATTGTTTCTTATTGTTTATAGGACAAAAAAGCCAAACAAGAGGAACGGGCCATTCATGAATACAATGAAAATCCAAAAGGTGTGAGCATATTTGACTTCAAAAGCATACTTTTAAAAAGGCTAGATACATGGCATACTGTATCCATATGTACATATAGATATATATCTACATATATGTGCTGTAACTGAGTATAGCTTACACACATGAATTCTATTTTATACTTTATTGTCATGTGACCATCATAATAAGCTATGAGATATGTGGCACAGGCTTATGTGTTCTCATTGATAACCACCACAGCTTCTTCACGTAAAAATATTCGCATCACTCATGGCTGCTCATGTGTCAGTGTTAAGTGGTTTAGAACAACGTTTTTACTACTTTTTTTTCCTTTTCAATCAGTATTATTAAGTTGGGCTTTTGTCCTAGATCTCAATTTGTATGTCTGGTGAGCACTGCCAGTCCCCATCGCCAATGTCCAGGATGGCCTGTAGCCACAGCATGCCATCCAGTTATTTCCCCCAGCGCCCAGACCTGAGTCTCTGATCTCACCACAGACATTTCAGAGGAGTCCTTTCCTAAGCCTTGCTCTTGATGTCAGAGAACAGGTGCCACAAAACAGAGGAGATTGTGATTGCCTTTGAATCCTACAGTTTCTACACCCAAATCATCATTGTTTTTGCTGTACGACCCCTGTATTATGTTTCCACACCATCACATCACAGTGTGCCTTTTGCTGTGTTCTCATTACAAATAACAAGATAGCCATAGTAGTGGATATCTGATCTGAACTTAAGCAGAAGAAGTAGTTCCCCTAATACTTTTTTCCTTCTAACTTCTGCAGAAAGAGTAGTAAGTTTCAGAATATTTTAAAGAAAATGTTAAAATATTTGCCATCTCTAACTATTCTTAGCATATATAGCCTGTTAAAAAGAAATTAAATATAAGATTTAAGTCATTGATAATATGAAATTAGAAGAATGTGTATGCTTCATGGGTATATTTTAGAGATCATTAGTCAACTATATTACATGTGGATTAATTTGAAACACCAAAAAATAGCATGTCCATTTGGGTACAGATAATTTCATTACAACTAGGTTAATTTTTAAAAAGGTAATTTATATTTTAAAGAAGTCTTCCAAAACATTTACTGTTACCTTTGCTCTATTTGGGTACTGGGCATCTAAATATTTATAATATTGTTCAGGTCATTATGGGATTTTTGCCTCAACTTTTCAGGAAATACGCAGTGGACCTTGTTCACTACTCTTCAGTGTTATCGCATAATTCAGGGTTGACAGCGTTTCACTGAAAGAGTCAGGACTTTTCTTTTTCTCATTAGTTAGAAAGAATATTTCTAAATATATCCTATTGTAGGAAATATGCGTGATCGTGCACAGAGCAGTTCTTCAGAAATCCTGGAAGATAGCGAATCAACACCAAGTAAAGACATAAACAAATCAAAGAAGGTAAGTGAAATGAATGTTTCATTTTAGTGTTAAGGCCAAAGTATTGAATTGCTTCTTCTACTTTTTGTATAGTGATATACATAATTTAACTCCTGTAATATGAGTTTTTATGGCCCAGGAACATACGAAGAATTTCAGGTGATGTTTCACATTTTAATGTGCATATTTACTTACTAGACTTTAGATTAGGAGTTAGGTTGCTCTGCCAAAATGTAATAGCATGTTCCTTTCAATCACCCCATCCATGCTGATTCATCATACAATAAAAGGTATGTAAAAGAACTCTATTGCTTAAATTATAACAGTATAATATCCTGAGAATCTAGAAGTGAGTAAGGCAAAGCCAAAACATAGGATGAATGAAAAAAATAAAGATGATTGTGCTTAGAAAACATTACAACATGCTACTCCAGTCTCTCCTGACTAATACCTGTTTTGGAGTTGTTAAAAGTCTGATGGATACATTTCTTCTTCTTGGAAGTAAGTTACTCTTCCCACTTGCAGAAGAACTGTATTTAATCATGAAATCAAATTTCCAGGTGGAAGTGTTAGGAGGAAACATGAAAGAGAAGGAAAATGAACGACTTTGTTAATTCCTATTCAACTTTAGGTCTCAGCTTAAATGTCATTTCCACACAGAGACCTTTTGTGAACAGCTGCACTTATATAAATTATTATGTCCCATTATTATTCTCTCACATAATACCCTTTTCTTATCCTTTTTTTCTTTTTTGCATGAGGGGGGAGGTAATTAGGTTTGTTTGTTTGTTTGTTTATTAAGTGGCGGTACTGGGGATTGAACCAGGACCTCATACATGGTAAGCATGCACTCTACCACTGAGCTATGCCCTCCCCTCTCCTTCCACTTATTTATCACAATTTACAAACACATAGTCATTTGTATTTTTATTTACTTTATTTCTCTGTCTCCCCACTGGCCTTCTGTTCCATGGGGACAGAAACTATTTTCTGTTTTGCTTTCCAGTGTGTCCTTAGCACTTAGCACAGTTCCTGGTACATGGTAAATGCTCCATAAATATTTTTGGTTGACAACGAATTGTAAAATGTAAGGAGGTTAAAAAAAAAAAAGGAAAGGATGAAGGTAAAACCAGGAGCCGCCTTTAGAGTAGCAAACAGCCTGTCTTTGGGTGTATGCCACTCTGAAATTCCTTTCAGAATTACTTCAGAAATTTCAAAAGTTGTTTTAGCTCAAATCTCTGTATTGTTATCTTTTACTAAAAATTACTTCATGACCATTTTACCTTTATAAAATTGTAAGTTTAGATTACCATACCCAAAAGATATCTGTGACTTGCTCAAAGGACACTTCAGAATTATTATTATTCTTAGAATTATAACATATAACACCAAAACATTTCATCAAAGTTTAGGAACATTTTATATTCTCTGTCAAGTAGAGCAGAACATTTAACAGATACTTTACTCTACTCATAGCGTTCCTGTGAAAACTTTTTTCTAATTATGAGAGCTCAGGGAAAGACTCTGGAAAAGAAAGTTAAATATGTGGGAGAGGGTTGAAAAGAAAAGGAGTCAGGAGACATAAGAACCTCAGGAAGAGGAAAAGTGAAGTGAAGCAGCAGGAAAAATAGTTGAAGTACACCTCTGACCAAAATGCATATTCTAGAATACGTGATCAAGTTTCAGGAACTTTTTAGGTTCTCCAGTCTTCAGCATTGTCCTTAGGTGGTAGATTTGGATGCACAGGACAGGGGAGGGCTGAGCCAGGGAAAGAATGCTGTGTGGGAGTCAGGTGGCACACACCTGTGGCAGCAGGCCAAGCAGGGAGCCCTACAAGTCCATGGCACAAAGGTGAGGTTGGGCCAGGATACAGAGTGCCAGGCTGAAGAATTTGGTCTTAAACTTTGATTCTGCTTAAATTCTCATTTATACCTAATGGAAAAATTAGTTTCAGTAAGTATACATTTCCTTGGTTAAAGGAAAGAAACAAAAAGTTATGAAAATTATATTTAGAAAGTCAAGCAGTAATAATATATTTCCTACTTAAAGAATAGTCTGTTATTCTGCATATTTTAAATAGGAAATAGATGATTTGGATGAGGTTTTCTTCAGTCATTCCCACATGATGTGTTTTAATCTACAATATCCCTAACCTATTTACACCATCTAAGCCAAACAAATCAAACTATTTTTAAATCTTGGAAAATAAATGATGCATTAACTCATATCAAAATAAACATGTTTGAAACTTTGCATTCCATCCCTTAATTAGATAGTCACTCCAAAGATAATCTTCAAAAAAAGAAAAGAAAAAATTACACTCTTGGTGTCTACAAGACAGAATTCACCTTTGAATTTTGTTTGGATGATTTTTGTTTCAGATAGCCAAGTTAGGACCCATGATTTTAATCATCAGCAGAGATCTTTTAATGACTGCTATATCTGGAAATTACCAAATATTGCTTTTCCAAGCTGTAGCAAATTTGGATCCACAGTTAGCCACTAAGGAAAATGTGCTGTTGGCTTAATTTCCACCTAAGTAAGCTAATGAAAAAAGCAGTAAGTTTTTCAGATATTAAAAATAATTTCCCATCATGGAATTAATTTTTTCATGTATTTATTTAGTATATATTTACTGGGTGCCTCTTATGTGCCAGGCACAAGGCTGAATGCTACGGTCGCAGATGTTAAAAATCCAGTGCCATCCCTCAGAAACTAGCTAGAACATGGCAGATTCCTAGATAGTTCCCCATGCCAGTTCACAGTCAGTAGATTTCTTATTCATTGCCACTACCATAAATATGAGACTGAAGTGAGAATTTCTCCATGAAAAATTATGCCTGTGGATTCTTGCCTTTCCTGGAAACTGCCTTCTCTCTGATGCTACGCTTTGTTCACCACGGGAGAACAACTCAGCACGTTTGCCTCAGGTACACAGTTGGCTTTCCTCTATAGTGAGGGAATTCTGAGGTATGGTATATGGTATATGGTATATGGTATATGGTCTCCTGTTACTGTCAGTTTTTCCCAGGCTTAAAACCTGAGACAGCCTCTTTCAGACCTACCCAATAATTGCTCCCCTGCATTTTTAAAAATAGCTTTATTGAGATATAATTGAAATGAACTATACATATTTAAAGTACATAATTTGATTAGTTTTGACATAAATATACACTTGTGAAAGCATAATCAAGCACGATCAAGAGAGTGAAAAGTGCCGTTATCAGCAGGAGGTTCTTTGTGGCTCTTTGTGATCCCTGTCTACACCCCCAGCCCCCTGCCATACTCAGCAAATCACTGATCTGTTTTCTGTCATCCTACATTTTACATGTTCTAGATTTTTATGTAAATGAAATCCTATACTGTGTACTCTTTTTTTCTTGGTTTGTCTTCCTTCACTCAGCGTAACTGTTCTGAGATTCATCCATGCATGTATCAGCAATTCATTCCTTTATATTGCTGAGTAGTATTCCATTTTGAGTTAATTTCTTATATGGTAAGGGTGTGGATTGAAATTATTTTTGCATATGGACATCCAATTGTTCTAGCACCATTTGTTGAAATAAAAAGGCTATATTTTCTCTACTATATTGTCTTCATACCTTTGCCAGAAATAAATTGATTTTTTTTTATGTGAGCCTGTTTCTGGACTCTATTCTGTTCCTTCGATCTGTTTATCTTGTGCCAGTACCACACTGTCTTGATTACTGAAGCTTATAAGTCTTGAAATCAGGAACTGTTAATCAACTTTGCTCCTTTTCAGACTTATTTTGACTATACTAGACCCTTTGTATTTCCATGTGAATTTTTACAATCAGTTTGTCAATTATTGGGAAAGAAATGCCTGCTGGGATTCTGTTTGGGGATTGTTTTGACTCTACATATGAATTTGGGAAGAATTAACATACTAAGTCTCGTAATTCATGAACATGAAATTTCTCTTTATTTATTTATTGATGTCTTCTCAAAGTTCCTTTAGCAACATTTTGTTGAATTTTCCTTACCATGGAAGTTTAGGTCACTGATAATAGGCTTTTTGTGCTATAAATTTCCCCTGAAGTACTTGATATGTTGTTTTTATCTTCATTCAGTTCAAAATACTTTATCATTTCCCCTTTGATTTCTTTGACTCATGGGTTATTTAATTTCCCCCGTTTAACATGTTTAGGAGTTTTTCAAGTGATCTTTATGTTATTAATTTCTAATTTAATCACATTGTGATTAGAGAACATACTTAGTATGACTTGATTCCTTTTAAATTTATTGAGACATGTTTTATGGCTCAGAATCAGGTCTATCTTGGTAAATGTTCTTTTGAGAACAAGTTTGAGAAGCTACTGTTGTTGGGTAGAGTGTCCTATCAATGTCAATTAGATCAGGGTGGTTAACAGTGTTCTTCAGGTATTCTCTATCCTTTCTAATTTTCTGTCTGCTTGTTTTATCTGTTATTGAAAGAAGAGTATTAAAATCCCTGACTATAATTGTAGAATTGTCTGTTTCTCCTTGTACTGCTATTAATTTTTGCTTTATGTATCTTAAAGCTGTTATTTGGTTCTGTAATGTTTAGGATTTGTTATATCCTCTTAATTAATTAACCCCTTCATCATTATGAAATGACCTTCTTTATCCCCAATAATATTCTTTACTCTAAAATCTACTTGACCTGATATTAATATAACCACTCTAGCTTTCTTTTGATGAGAGTTATCATCTTTTAATATTCTTTTACTTTTAACCCATTTATGATTTTACATTTGAAGTTCACTTGATTTAGGCAGCATGTAAATGGATGTTGCTTTTTTATCTAATCTGAAAATATCTGCCTTTTAATTGGAGCATTTAGACCATTTATATTTAATTTGATTATTGATTCCATTAGGTTTAAGTTATCATCTTACTGTTGGTAGTATTCTTCTTTGTCTCTTAAAAATGCTAGTTTATTTTATCTGATATTGATACAGCTGTACTAGTTTTCATTCTTTCATTTTTACTTGTGTTTTATTTTTTAACATTTTTTATTGATTTATAATCATTTTACAATGTTGTGTCAAATTCCAATGTAGAGCACAATTTTTCAGTTATACATGAACATATATATATTCATTGTCACATTTGTTCCTCTGTGAGCTACCATAAGATCTTGTGTGTGTTTTTCCCTGTGCTATGCAGTATAATCTTGTTTATCTATTCTACAATTTTGAAATCCCGTCTATCCCTTCCCACTCTCCACCCCCTTGGGAACCACAAGTTTGTATTTTATGTCTATGAGTCTGTTTCTGTTTTGTATTTATGCTTTGTTTTTTGTTTTTGTGTTTTTGATTCCACATATTAGCGATCTCATATGGTATTTTTCTTTCACTTTCTGGCTTACTTCACTTAGAATGACATTCTCCAGGAGCACATGTATACCTAAAGTCTAAAGTTAATTAGTATTCTTTTTCCCAGATAATACCAGGATCTTAGAAGGGTTTTCTCTCCTATCATCACTTCTCATTTTACATGTTATTGTATCAAGTATTTAAAATTTTTTTAGCCTCATCAATCCAGTATCATTATTTGTTATACCACTTTCTTTATTTACTGTTCTTTTCATATCTTAGATGTCCTTTCTGGAATGCTTTTTATTGTTCCTGAAGAAATCCTTTGGTAGTTACTGTCATAAATTTCTTCCTTAGTTAACTTTTTCAGTTTCTATTCACTTGAAAATTAATGATAGTATGGCTGGTTGACAGCTACTTTCTTTTAGGATCTGTTCCCATTGTTGCTATTAAGAAATTTGCTTTAGTATAATTGCTGGTAACTTAGCATATAAACTGTCATTTCTCTCTGGATGCTTTTTACATTGTTTGTTTGTCTTCGATGTGCTTCATTTCACTATGAGATACCTAGGTGTGAGTTTTTTTAATTTTAACTTTCTTCTAATCCATTATGACTCTTGAATCTGAGAATTCATATCATTCATCATTTTATGAAAATTCTCATCCATTTTTGAGTATTTCCTCTCTCTTCTTTCAAACTCCAGTATAATCAAACTTTTCATTCTGTTGTGTGTGTCTTTTAAATATTCATATTTTCTATGTCTAAGTGATATTTGGGGGAATTTCAGAGCTTGTCCGTTTCATAGTATCTTTTCAGCTGAGACTAATCTCTAATAATTTCAGTTATTATATTTTTCACATTTTGAAGTAAAATTCTATTTTGATTCTTTTTCAAATCAGTCTGATCTTTTAAAAACTAGTATCTTGTTTTATGCTCATTGTTTTATGCTCATGGTTTTTATTCTAGTCCTTTAAATAATTTAAGCATACTTATTTTATATTCTGTATTTAGTTATTCCAATGTCAGACATCCTTCAGAGCCTAAATCTGTTTGTTGCTTTGTCTGACTTGCTAACAGTGTCTTGTTTCCTTCTGTGTTTTGGAATTTGGATTGTGAGTTCATGTTGAACCAGGACTTTTTGTGGAAATTCTTTAAAGCTTAGATTAGGGTAAATTCATCCATAGAGAATTTGTATTAGTCTCTGTTAGCTCCTCTGGCTGTTAGCATTCCAGGACCACTTTCATTTAATGTCTCAGTTAAGGGTTTCACACACACACCAGTAATGTAGATGTGAACCCCAGGCTCACATTAGGAAAACATTGTTAGGCTGAGAGAGACATGTTATTTTGTTATCTCTCAATGTTTGTAGGTGGACTTACATTAAAGGCCTAGTCCCTAGAGGTTACCTACTTTATGTAGGGAAGGGTCTCAGTTCTAATTTTCCATATTTTGTGAGGTCAAATCTGTTAAAATCCAAGACTTGAAGTTATAAGATCAGTATATGCCATTTCAATACTCAACTCATCTCTGAGGCTTCCTGCTCCCTCTTCATTTTTTGGCCTACAAGAATTTCCTTTCATTTTATGTGAGCTTAGCTACACATTATAAAATTCTCTTTTGTATACTTCTTAAGCATCTCTTGGAATTTTGTAATGGCAGAATTTTTCAAGATGTGTATTCCTCCACAATAGCAGGAACAGAAGTTCTTCCATTTTAGTTCATAGACTCTTTTTCTAGACACTGACTTTTTGGGTTAAAACTTTTCACTCTAATTCCTCCATTCTTTAAGGCTAAAGGTAAGTTATTATTAGTAGCACCATTTCAATTTCTGAAGGAGCCAAGTCCTCAGCTGTTTTTGTTTTTGGAATCTTGTCAAAACCATTATTTGGATTGTCACTCTTTAGAAGTCTTGTTTTCTGTGTGGCTAAATCCTCAAAGGGCTCAAATCACTTGGAACTTTTTAGTTACCGTCTTCCTTGATGTCTCCTGCATATGTCTTGTAGGCCACTTTCTTCTTGATGTCTTCCTCCCCTGACTTCTGAGCTGCCTGTTTTTCCTGATTTTGTTCCTACAAAGCTCAGTCCCCAGTTCTGGCTCTCTTCCTTTCACACTTGGCTTTTCCTCACTCTCTTTTTTACTGCTCTCTCTTCTGCCCACCTGGAATCCCTGGGTTATGGGGTCTACTTTCATCTCTTCAGCTATTACCTGCACTCTGCCTGTCCACAGCCCTGGCCTCCCCTGAGGAGCAGATCCATATATCCAACTGCCTACTCAGACCCCTGGGGCTCCCACTGCCATCATTCAGCAGCACTAACATTTTGCCAGAGTTGTGATCTTCAGGAATGTAGATGTATGTCCTCCTCTATAATATCCTGGTTTTCATCTTTTTTCCTCTTGTAGCAAAACAAAGTAAAATACTAAATTTGTTCTTTGAATAAAAAGAATAACATATTACCAAAGCGCTGATAGTGTTGAAGGGTAAACCCAGAAAGGTCTTATTTTAGGGAAGAGTCATGATTGTGATTGGTAAAAGAAAAAAGGCTGGTGGAGGTTGAGAATGTACCATTGTGGTGTCCCGTAAAGATGTGATGAAATATGTTAAGACTTGTTGAAAATTATACCCCCTAAATACTATTAAGTGAATATTTCACTTACTGAAATGAATTCTTTTTGTGCATTTTTTCCTAGATTTTCCTCCTTAAAAGGATGTCATTGACAAGTCAGAAAAGTATGCAGAGTAATAATGACCCGCTTCCAGAGATAAAACCAATAGGAGATCAAATAGCTTTTAAAGCCAATAAGAAAGATGCTAACCAGAACGACATGGGGCAAAATCATCAGGACACCTCACCCCCAAATACGGAGAGAAGGTCAAAATCTTGTACAATACTATGAATATATAGTTACGTTTTCATGGTCACCAAACACGTAATTTATACTTGAAAACAACATTTGCGTTCTAAAGGAAAGTTTCTGATAAACTTTTAAAGATATAACTTAATAATATGTTTTATTTGGTTTGAATAGTACGACCAGTTTTGATATTTATTTAAATGCCGATATTTTTGACAAGCAGTTTCAAAATATGTGTATCTCAAACTCTCCTTCAAGTGTTGTGGCTTTAACTGGTCAGTGTTGTGATATAAAATATATTTTTATATGTCAAAGTTAAGATACTTCATAGTTTTTACTAAACAATTCTACTTCTTTATAATTTCATAAGGCAATATTTGCAATCTTATGACACTGTGACAATTTTTAACATATTTGCAATTCTCAAAAACTGAGTCAAAATTGTTTTTAATGAACATATTTTAATAAACTATATCTGGTTTATTAAACCAGATATATTTATTTATTCATATTCACCCTATTTGAATGGGTGAATATGAATAAAATTTGCAGGTACTTAGAGTTATCAGTTGGTAAAATGAGGGCAAAAAAATCTAATTTTAAAATACTGAAAGATGCATAGTGCATTTACCTCTGAGTAAAAAAAATATCAGGGCAACTGTATAAACAGTACATCCTTGTGGAGAAACTGTTGAAATTTCTTTGCTTCCGGCTTCTCCCTTTAGAGAGGTGATCTGACATGAAAACATTGTAGATTATGTGGTATAATCTGCACTGTTAGACCATGCCACAGAGCGCCACCATAGGGGAACCAGACACAGCCAGGCTTGCTCCTTTCATCTGTCTCTAGCATTGACAGTGGTTACCAAGGTTGGCTCCATGCCACGGTGCTCTGCCACAAGGAATAGGAAGGGTAAAGCTGTGGAGTCTGACCTGATAGAAATGTTGCTTTCCTATGCTCACAGGTGCTACTTACTTAATGGAGCAAACTACCTTCATTTTTCCCATTCTAGCTCTGACTGCAACATTTTCTTATTCAGTCACAATGACCATTGCCCAATTTAAACAAAGAAAAGGAAAAAAGCCCCATCTTTGTTTTTCATTCACAAGGACTGTAAGAGTGTAGAGTAGATGTGATTTTGAAATCTTACAAAACAGTCTCCTATGTAAATATTACATTTAGTGGAATTCTAATTTTATTAAAGGTAAATTTAATTTAAAAATTTACCATTGCCACTATAGTACTGGTACAGTATTGTAAAAGTACTTTGCCAAAATATAAGCTGTAGGAACCAAGTGGAAGTGAAACTCACAAATAGTGCTAAGACATCCCAGTTGTGATAGGCAGGATTCTAAGATGGCCGCCAAGGTACCTACCTGCTGGTGTGCTTGCCCTGAATAGTACCTTCCCATTGACTGTGTAGGGGAGGGCAGTGAATATTATGAGATATCACTCCATTGCTTATATTATATTACATGGAAAAAGTGAAATATTTTGCAGATATAATTTTATAAATTTATATAAAGTTAACTTTAAGTTAGGTGGACCTGACCTAATCAGGTGAGCCCTTTCAAAAAAGCTCTAGATACCTGAAGTGGAAGAAGTCAGCAATTCAAAGCAATAGAGATGCTCTCCTACTGGCCATGAAAAAGCAAACTGCCACATTATGAAGAGGGCCATGTGCCAGGGTGAGAGACTTCTAGACTCTGAAGGCCTCGATCCTGCAATTGCAAGGTACTGAATTCTGCCAACAACCAATGAGCCTGGAAGAGGAACCCAGTCCTCAGATTAGACCACAGCCCTGGCTGATACCCTGACTGCAGCTTTGTGAGGCCCTGAGCAGAGGACCTAGCTAAGCAGTACCCAGGCTGCTGACCCATGAAAACTATGAGATAATAAATATATGTAGTTTTAATCCACTACGTTTATGGTGATTTGTTATGCAGCAATAGAAACCAGTATCAGTTTTATTCTGAGAAAGGGCCTCTCGATGGCAACTCCCAGAGCTTCTGTAACAAACTACCATAAACAGTGACTTAAAAACAATAGAAATTTATTGTCTCAGTTCTGGAGGCCAGAAGTCTGAAATCAAGGTCTTGGCAAGGCTATGCTCCCTCTGAAGGCACTAGAGACATTCCGTGCCTCTCTAACTTCTAGTGGCTTCAGGCATTCTTTGACTTGTAGATATATCACTCCAATCCTGTGTCCTCACATGACATTCTTCTTTTGTATCTTCACATTATCTTCTGTGCATGTTTATCTCCATTTCCAAATTTCCCCTTTTTAAAATGGCACCAGTCATGTTGGCTTAGAGACCATTGTAATAGCCTCATTTTAACTTGATTACTTCCTTAAAGGCCCAGTTTCCAAGTTCTGAGGTACTGGGGGTTAGGAATTCAGAATGAAGCCAAAGTTATTATCACAGACCTCTACCCATGGGAGACCCAAGTGACAGTAGAATGAGATGAGTAGAGATGAGACTCTGAATAATTATTTGAGGATAAAACCAGGCTGATTTCTTTATCATGCTCCTGAACTTCAATTAAACAGTTTTCTGCCTGCTTGGATGTTGTGAGGCTACCAAAATGGAAAATATTTCCATCCTTAAAATTTCCTTTTGCCAGGGCACATGGTTTAAAGATTTTTCAGCTGATAGTAAGTTCTTTAAAAAGCTTAGAGTATCTTTTTAGACAGAACTTTAAAATGCACTTTACTTTTTTTTTACCTTGTAAGAATAATAAATCAATAAGCGAAAAGAGGAGATAAATCAGAAGGTTGGAAAGTCTTCATCTCAGAAATGAGGATGATATTTGATTAAATTGAACAAACAAAGTGCCTTTAAACCAGAGATCACATAACTGAAGTGTTTTCACAGGCTAAACAGATAATCATATTGAAGCTGCTGCCTGTCTGTTCTAGCTGGTAACTGCTGTTTCTCAGTACTGGGCCCAATATTGCCAGACCCTCAGCCATTTTAAAAAGAAGCTGTACATTTGGGTTTTTACATAGACAACTCATTCGTGTACGTGTGCAGGCATTCATGCATGCATATAAACAGCCAAACCCTAGCTGCAGGCCCTATTTGGCCCAAAGAGAGTAACTTGTGTGACCTCTGTTTTAAACAGAGTACATTATTTTGGCAAGAGAAAATTGTTTACAAGGAGAATATGTTGAAAAAATTACTTAGGCCCTGAATTGATCTCAATTGTAATCTTCCCTAGTTTGACCTCAGATTTAAGCAGGCAATGAGAGTTAAAGAATTAATTAGAAAAGTGATCATTCTACCAAGAAGGTAATTTTTGTTGTTGCATACACATGCATACTAAGCCTTCTTGGGAGTGTGGAGAGTTGGGAGGGGATAATGGAGTACAACTGTATTGAAGAGAATGAACTAAGATGTTTCTGCTGGAAGAAGCCACTTGAAAGTTAAGAGACAAAACACAAACAGGCTTAGTAAGCAGTCACTCCAACAATTGTGATGGATGGCGACTTTGGCACAATGTTAATACACAATCCTAATCACTGAAATGTCAGGAAATGTTATACTAACCCTAAAATTATTTACAAAACTACAACAGGAAATCTTATCTGACCAGGCCAAGCTATATTCCCAAATAGTTCCACTTGCTTTCATTTTCATCTGGTATGTATAATATGTATATTATGACAGATGAGATGTCTTAAAGGTAAGGTCAGCAGTGGACTAGAGAGCTGATCTAACTTTAAGCAATGTACAGGCATACATTTTTATTTTAAAAGAAATCTTATGTGGTTCAGTGGTAAACATCTATCACCAAGGTGAAAAAAAATTTTATATATTCTAGAAAACCTTTTGAAGTTTCTCAGAAGCAATCTTTACAAGTAATTTGTTCAGAATTATAAGATATTGAATAGAGTTCCCTGTGCTGTATAGTAAATCTCTTAGTTAGTTTATCCTTCCCCTCCTCCCTTTCCCCTGTGGTAACCATAAGTTTGTTTTCTATGTCTGAGTGTTTCTGTTTTGTATATAGGTTCATTTGTATTATTTTGTAGATTCCACATATAAGTGATATCATAAAGTATTTGTGTCTCTCTGTCTGACTTCACTTAGTATGATATTCTTTAGGTCCATCCAAGTTGCTGAAATGGCAGTATTTCATTCTTTTTCATGGCTGAGTAATATTCCATTGCATGTGGTTATTGCTTTTTAAACCAATCATCTGTTGATAGGCACTTGTGTTGTTTCCATGTGTTGGCTATTGTAAATAGTTCTGCTATGAACATTGGTGTATGTGTATCTTTTCCAGATACATGCCAAGGAATGGGATTGCTGGGTCATATAGTAGCTGTATCTTAGTTTTTTAAGGGACCTCCTTACTGTTCTCCATAGTGACTGCACCAATTTACATTCCCACCAACAGTGTGTGTGTGGGGGGGTCCCTCTCCTCCACACCCTCTCCAGCATTTATTATTTGTATATTTTTTGATGATAGCCACTCTGATGTGAGGTGATACCTCATTGTGGTTTTGATTTACATTTCTCTAATAATTAACCATATTGAGCATCTTTTCATGTGCCTGTTGGCCATCAATATATCTTCTTGGAGAAATGTCTGTTTAGTTCTCCTGCTCATTTTTTTTATTAGATTGTTTTTTGGATACTGAGTTATATGAGCTGTTTGTATATTTTGGATATTAACCTTTTGTTGGTTGCATTGTTTGCAAATATTTTCTCCCATTCTGTAGGTTCTCTTTTCATTTTGTTGATGATTTCCTTTGCTGTACAAAAGCTTTAAGGTTTTATTAGGTCCCATTTGTTTATTTTTGCTTTTATTTCTTTTGCCTTGGGGCACTGATCTAAAAAAATATTGCTATGATTTATGTCCTAAAATGTTTTATCCATGTTCTCTTCTAGGAGTTTTATGGTGTCATGTCTTATATTTAGGTCTTCAAACCATTTTGAGTTTACTTTTGTATATGATGTGATGCAGTGTTCTAATTTCATTGATTAACATGTAGCTGTCTAGCTTTCCCAGAACCAATTGTTGAAGAGACTGTCTCTTCTCCATTGTATATTCTTGCCTCCTTTATCATAGCTTAATTGACCATAAGCATGTGGGTTATTTCTGGGCTCTGTATTCTGTTCCACTGATCTGTCTATCTGTGTGTGTGTGTGTGCACCCACACGCACACGTGTGTGCCAATACCATACTGTTTTGATTACTGTAGCTTTGTAGTATTATCTGAAGTCTGGAAGGGTTATGCCTCTAGCTTTGTTCTTTTTCTTCAGTATTGCTTTTGTAATTCTGGGTCTTTTGTGATTCCATCTGAAGGATTAT